GGAAAGAGTTGGTATACTTAGAGTAGCAGGCAAGGAAAGCAGTCAATCTGACCTCTCTCTGGCTTTCATATTGTTCACAGATGCAAAGATTGAAAAAGTACTGAAAAAAAAGTTGAAATCATGCTGTATGAAGGGATCTGAACTGAATCAGTGAGACAACAAATTATAAAGAGGTAGAGCAGCAATCTGTTAAAAAAAAAAAGAGTAACTGTCCTTACTCAGGGGTATGATTTGATATTCTGGTTTTCAGAATATGGTCATAAAGCACTGATATCTCACCCACTCCCCCAACAAGGAAAACACTTAAAGATGGATATGATACTAACAAGAAACCATGGTGATGGCTTAAAAGCTCCTATTACATAAAAAAGCAAGCACATGAAAAAATGAGTTGCTCCTATTCAGTATGAGCCACTCTGCAAAATTCTCCCTTATTCCATACTTAAGGCCAGAGGGCTGAATGAAACGGCCCCAGGCTCAAAGGCATTGCATATGTGGAGTGCTTTGCCTTTTCAGTGCAGATCTCAGTGAACAGCACCTACTGGAACACCAGAAGCAATTACTGGTGGTTTCCAGGCCGTCACCGTAGTGGCCAAACTGCCCTTTGAGACTGTGCGAGGCAGCCCAGATGTCATCCTTCCATAACTAATAGGTGAGCACAAGAAGGGGATTTTTTACCAAGACAGGATGAGTTGATTAGATAGTTGCTTGGGAGGATAAGATGAAATCTGATGTGGCTTCAAGTCACACTTACTCTGGCCTATGAGTGGGCTGCTGCCACCCAGAGTGGTCCCACTGCACTCCTTGACCTGCAGCTACAGGCTTCCTGCCCCTCTTGTGGGCTGGACCCAGCTATTGGACCCAGGGGATGTGGTTCCATGAACTGACACAGTGGAAAACTACGTGGGGGTTGCTATTTTTGGCAGGTTAATTTTCTATTAGCCTGCTCTGCCGCTCCATAATCAATTGATATGACTCAAAGGAAGCAGCAAGAACATGTGGCTAAGGGCAAGATGGCTGAAGGCCACCCTTTCCATGGGAGCCTGCAGTTACATCATTAAATGTAATGTGAAACCAACATCTGCACTGGTGGTTGTAAGGTTGCTGCCATGAGATGCATATAGCTTAGACGTAAACAGGCTTCCAGCCTGACTCACAGCTTCATGCTCCTGTGCTGTGTGTCTGAGGCATGCCGGGGCTCTGCATGGTTTGAACAGAGGGTCTTGGCCAGCACAAGTCCCACAAGATATGCTTCCCCCCTTTAGCCCCTCTGCTGCATACTTTCTCTCCCAACTGCCCAAATAGAGAGACAAATAAGAAGACAGTAGTAGTCCACTCCTGACTCCTCCAAGGGCTTCATTTTGTCAACACAATACATGAAGTGGATGACCTTCTCTTTGGGCAGTGAGTAAGGCATAGATAGGAAAGGGCAGCTCACATGGGTTATGCTCCATCAGTGTGACACCCTGAGACAAACCTAAATACCAGTTTAAACATAGAAAAGGGAATTCCTCTGGTTACCATTTCTGATTACCACCCTTAGAGGGATGTGGTGGTGTTTAATTTTTTGGAACTACCTAAGTTAATTTTTTACTATTATATATTGTTACAATGAGTGTTACGTCTATGAATTCTTTCTTGGTCTATAGATCTTGTGGTCTGCCACAGAATGATTTTGATAGCCTGCTGGATACCAAAGGGAAGTATATCTGGATTTGGCTAGCTGAAGAGATCTGCAAAGTCAACTTTAAGTATCAGTGCAGATGTATGTGGTGGCTTCTACAATTACTTCTGATTATCTGTCAGAGGACTGGTGCGCGTATGTGTCCAGAAGAGGGGATAAGAAGAGAGATGGGGGTAAAGACTAAACCATTTATGCCTTGTCAGAGAGAATAAGCATTGCTGAAACAAACTAAAATAAGACCACATGGTAGCAAATTCCTTCTCTTTCTCCAGGAGAAACCTGAAGTAGACAGGGCTGAGGAGCTATACTCTTCATCCCTGAGCCACAGTCCCATCTCTCCAGCAGAGACCAGCCAAAGGCAGCTTTCATAGTGCTGTCAGAGAAGTGGTTGCTGGATTTTGGAGAGACTGCCTGTTTCTTGTGCGTTTCTAAAAAGACAGCTATAGACTAGGTTTAGATTTTATCTGTATGCTCTTCCTTTCATAGGTAACTTCTGGTTTCTCTCAAAACCAAAATTTGGGCATGGCTTTTTGTTTTGGTTTGTGTACCTTTCTTGTTTGATTTCTTGAAATCTTACTCCTTACAGCATAGACGTGTGGTAAAAATGCACGCTCTATGAAGAAAAACCTTGTCACACAAGATGTGTTGTGCAAAACTTTAGTGAACTGAACTCCTAATTAGGAAAAATTACTTAGACCTGTCTATCATGTAACCAATAATAACTTCTGTGAAGAAAAATAATTTTCCTAGAGTTGAAAAGCAAAAGGCTGCTAACTCAAGCTCCAAAACATTAATTTGTAATCCTAATTCAGTGAGTATCATGCTGTTTAAAATAGAATGACTGAATGTCCTTTTTTAAAAAAACAGTGCAATGAATTGTCTTTAAATTCTCCCTGAAAGACAATCACATTCCGATGTTCCTTGGCACCAATTAGTTTTAATGCAGCCATTTCAAAGGCATTCTTCTTCAAATAGCATGGTATGTTATATAAAGTTATGCAGCTATTGGAAGGGAACTCACGTACTGCATTAAGGTGAGGGTCCAGAATACTACCGGAATACTTAGCAGCATGTGCTAAATCACAGTTCAGCGAGGTCACATAATCAAATTCCAGATTATCCCTTTTATTACATTCGACTAATAAATCTTTGGAAACTAGAGTCTGACAAGTTCATCACAGCATTTTAACTTTTCAGTGGTGCATGTAGAATACATATACACATGGAATCTTACAAAAGCAAAAAAAAAAAAAAAGCAGCAGCAAGTCTGCAACAAGAATGGAAGAAAAAGTAGTTTTAATGTCAGATGCCACCAGACTGAAAAGTTATGCTGAAAGATGTGCCTCCATTTTTAATTTGAACCTTCTCAACTGAAGTAGAGCAGTTTATCATTTAGTGCCAGTGAACAGATTTGCACATCAGACGTTTCAGTGCATTATGGATGGGACAATGTTAAATATGTTTTCACTGCAGTTCCACAGGTCACTGGCATGGGTATAAGCCAAGACCATAGGTTAAGATTATTGCAACATTGCTATTGGTCATGCAGCTAGCTCTACAGTAACTGACAGCATTTAATCTTAGATAATATGGTTTCATTATCACAAATGAAATTAAAGAGCCTTTTCCCGTATAGAGACAATCCAAGCAAAAGTCTGTACCATTCCACCAGGCTGTTAATTGAACTTTTTTCCACCAGGATTCAAAAGGAGGAGAGGGTTAAGGGAACTCGCTGATATAGCAACATGGTTGAATGCAAACCTATGCTGCGGAAGACTTACCATCATCCAGGTACATCTGGTCCAATTCCTCAGGTTCTCGCTTGATCGTTACAGGAATAGGGGCCAAATTATGATTACTTTCCTCATGCAACTCTGGCAATGACAGTGGTTGGGTTGTTGGAGACTCATTTCTGTGAACCTTCGGCAGTTGCTGCTGCTGTTGACCCATTATGGATGAGTGAGTTGGACTGCAGGACTGCAAATAGGTTGGCTCTTGGGTAACAGATGGAACTGGAGAAGAGGGACTGTTGGGATAGAGTGTTTGTTGATAACCAAGGGGACAGCTACTGCTCAGATGTTGACTCACCTGCGGCTGCAGCATGATGTGAGATGATTGCTCGGGGGAGCTTGGGTGCACAACTATAGACCTTGGCACTTCCTGTATGGTGGGGACACCTCCAGCGGGCTGCTGAAGTCCGAGGTGACTGTGGCCTGGGTTGGGGATGCACTTGTAAGGAGAGGACGAAAGGTCGTGCAGCTTGGGGCTTGCGTTGGGAGAGGGTGACATCACGGCGTTTCTCTGCTGACAAGAGGCAAAACCAGCCACGAGGCACGAACCAGGATCAGGGGGCATCATGATCTGCTGGCTGTAGTATGGTTTAGAGAGAGGGCTTAAGCCTTGGTTCATTGGTCCACAGGTTTGAGCAGGCTCATAGTCATCTGTGGGTTCTGTTTTTATAATTGGAACTGTTAAAAGAAAAAAGTTTTAAATAAACATGAGTTGCGTATTGGTATGATCAAGTTGGCTTGTGGCTAGGATACCCTTTGCAAAACAAACAACGTCCTGAATAAGACTCTGTGTGTCTTTTGCCTAGTTCTCCCACCCTATAAAAAAAAAATGAATGAGTCATCAGCACAAGAAAGTCACAGCTGGTTCTAATATTGAAAAGGACTATTTTCTTTGGACTCTCCTTCAGCACTAATGTGCTATAAAAATCTATTTGCAAATAGCTGTGCTTCAGTGGAAGCTTTGGACCCAAGGGCTCCATGGATTTGTAGTAATCAAAGCAAGAATTTTAACTTGGATATACTACTGCATTTCTACGGCTACTGATGGCCCATTTGATAAATGTCTACACATTTGGTAAACTGGAGCATAATAAGGTAGAGATGGGGCTTTCAGAGTTCAGTGAAAGTAAAATTGCAAAGATACATGACAAACTATTATGTACAAGAAGTTTTCAATTATGAGGGTATTTCTGAAAGACTAGGATTTGGTTTATTTAGTTTTTACATGATTGTTTTTAATCTTACAAACCAGCCAATGGGTGTAAAATATTCAGTAAGTTGTATCCAACTCTCAGTGATTCTAAGTAAGTTGGATCCAAACTGCTAATGCCAGCTCCTAACAAATGTTAACTCAGTCTCTGGCCACCAAGAAAAACTGACTCCTATTCTAGACCTCTGCTTGCTCTACCCATTGTCCCAAAAGTGGCTCTAACTGAGCTGTCAGGCTCTCTAAATACCACCAGCACAGGTACAGAATGACTGTCTACGAGCATCAACTCAGTCATGACAAATGTAGAGCTGCTTTGTGAAACCAGAGAAGAGATCCTTCCTCAAATCAAAGTGTCTTTTTCACATAGGCTTTCTCTCTCAAATCAGAGAGGTGCCTTTGCTGCTTCTCCTACAATACATGCAGTAAAAGACACACACTTTCTCTATGAGGAAAATTATAAATAATAGGGCCAAGCTAGTCTGTAGATTTTTTTTTTCTTGCCAGATGCAACTCTAATGCACACAACAATTGAGTATGGATGCACAGTGGCATCTATCTTCTTTCCTAAAAATAGATCTACAGGAACAGCCTTGAAGGTGCTGTTGGACATTTATGCTGACACCAGAGAATATACCTCAGAATATTAGAATAACTGATTGTTGTGGCACAAAGTTATTAATGAAACATCTTTGCACAACTCAGCTCAGAGCGCATGTGTGTTGCATGTCTCTGACTGTCTTTTTGTTTACACATCTTTTACAAACACCCTTACACATTCTCCAGCCATTTACTATATTCGCATACGAGTCTTTTGAACCCCTAAAAATGCACATGTGTGCATGTGTATATATAAAACCTCTTTTAACACTCACAAATTTTGCTGCTGGTGAATGCACTTCACTACCCTTGTTTTACAGTCCCCTAGCCTCTTGTTAACTTTGCTCCTTTTATGTTCTTTTACATATAGATGCTTGCAACACTTGTTTCAAGATTTCTAGCACCCCTAGTAAAAACATGTCATACGTGTAACAGATGCACAGGTGCTGCTCAAGACAAATGTGCTAAGGATAATGGACTGTCACTGGATTCCTCATAATCTGATTTTCACCTGCTCATGTGCCGCACACTGGCTAGCAGGGCTACTAATGCACTTGGTTGCAGAGAAGCAGATTCCAAGTTCAGTGACAGCTTTATAAAACCAGTATCACACCCTTTATGAAAATGCAAGACCAAAGAAATGCACCTAGATAAACATAGCAGCTCAGATATTGTAAGAAAATACCTTTAACAAGTTCCTGAGCTAGCAAATATTCTCACATGTTTTATATTAGGTTCACTGTACTAGCACTAACCACAGCACAGCTGGAAATATGATGGTTGTTGAACACTGAATTTTCCCAATATATCACTGTTAGAGAAACACCTGTGCTAAATGATTCCAAGCTCAACCGCTGGCAATTCAACTCCAATAAACCCTGGAGTTGTCTGACTTGTTATAACCTAGGGAAGGGTTATAGCCCTGGTGGCAGGCAGGCTAGAGGCTTTAAAGAAGGTAGGTTCCTCATCTCTGGCTGATTTTTCACTGTAGCTGCAGTTCTACGGCACATCTTTGCTACTTGGTTTACCAGCCATTTTTTTGTCACTTCACTTTGAAGTTTTTCTGCATAAAAGCAATGCCATGAGGTCTCTTTGGAGAGTGGCCATGAACACTGGGAATCTCTTTTTGTATGCTGCTACACTGAAATACACCTGCCACAGCCACAGAAGGTAACCAGTAAGTCCCACTCTGCACTGAGTGAAGGACTATGGGTGGAAGGCACTCTGTTCCAGACCTGTTAGTCCAAAACTCTCTTGGAGATGGCAAGCAAGGACACTCTTGGCTGCCCATAAATTCAGAGTTCAGAGGAAAATAGAGACCGATGTTACAGAACCAGTCAGGGTTAAGTCACAGTAGCTTGTTTGCTGATGGCAGGTTGGCAGCCAAAGAGGGAAACAAGAAGGAGGGATACAAGATTAAGTGGGACCTCCATTTTATTTGGCATCTGTTTACATTGTCCCCTTGTATTGCTCTGAACTAGTACTCCTGAGAATCCGTTACTTCAGGTAATGGGAAACAAACTGTCTTTAAATGCACAGATACTACCTACACTTAGGCTTAGAGGTACCTGAACTTGTTCAACTGAATTGCTTCCATTACCTTTTTTAATGTGTTTTTTCAATACAAAATAAGTATCATATATTTTGTTTGTATGCTAATCTCATCACTAGAATGGGTATCACACTGAAAGACAGAGAAAGTATTAATGCTGAAATGGTGAAGGGATTTTTACCTGACTTCTCAGTGCTTTGCCATTTGTATAGCCATTTAACACTCTGCAGAGTGAACGTACAGATCTTACCAAGCTGGGATGGCAGCCACTCAGTCCCCTTTAAAAAAAGTGTAAATGTCTTCACAGGGTACCAGTTTGGAGAATGAAGCTCTGTAGGACTTTTCCCCGCCCCCCCC